TATTATATCCTAATTCTGACTAGAAGCAAAGATTGACTACAAATGTAGACACAATGACAAAAATTTCTCCTGAAGTTACATAGAGGTGGTTAAAAAATATAAAATTATGGTAAACACATCATTAAACTAGAGCCTCCTATAAGTCTGAATCACTCATCTGGTAAGTTATACCATTTTGATATTTATTTTCACCTTTTATTTTTTTATCTAGATGATCATTTTTACTGTCAGTTAAAGGCAATAACTCAAGGAGTCAATTGACAATTTCTTAAATATTGACAGATTTGTAGATGTATCTTAATGATCAGTTTTAATGCTTACAGTTTCTATCTGCATACATGTTCAATAGTATTTCAAAAAAGCAAATAAAAAAATTCATTACTTAACAGCCAAATATTGCTTTATTTGTAGATCTTATTTTGCTGATAATGTTTGCTGTTTACTATTTCTATCTATAGTAATTTTGTAAAAATATTAGGCAAAAATGCAAAAAGGGGTAAAAATCATCATCAAAGGGCAATAACTCATATAAGGAGTCAATTGACAGTTTAGGCTATGCTGATTTGTTTGGAAATTTTATCTTGCTAATCATTTTTGCTGTTACCAGTTTCTCTCTATTATGGTTTTCAAGAAAAAAGCCAAAAACACACAAAACTTGTTAAAATTGTAACTCAAGGGCAATACCTCCTACAAGGAGTTGAATGAAAATTTGAGTCATGCTGACTTATTTGTAGATCTTATCTCTCTGAGATTATTCCTGTTCACTGTTTCTCTCTATATCTTATAATTTTTGAATAAATTGTCTTAAAAGCAAAAAAGGGTTTTATTTACAGACAAAATTCCCATGTTGAACTACTTTAAATATAGATCTTATCTTTCTGATAGTTTTTTGCTCTAGAAAGATATAATCATTACTGACATCAAGTCATAGTATGATCCTGCTAAATTAACATTTCCTCAAATTCATGATTTTGAACTTTTTTTTTGATAATTAAAGAACCTTAGTGAGCGTGCTCACATACCCCACGTCCCCACATTGTCATTGGAGAAATAAAATAAGTGTAAGAAAAAAAAAAATGTATAAGAAAAAAAAATTGAATCATAATATCCTGTCAATATGCACTTCTACATAGTATGTCCTTATTATCTACAAAGTTTCATGAAATTCTGTTGTGTGGTTTCAGAGGAGTTGCGATGACAAACTGTTGCAGAAGTACATTGATGCAAATAAGTTCAAAGGGGCGTAACTCCTACAAAAAAAATTGAATCGCAATTTCCTGTCAATATGCACATCTACATAGTATGTCCTTATTATCTAACTAGAGGCTCTCAAGAGCCTGTGTTGCTCACCTGTATTTACTGATGCTTTGGAAATCATGTAAAATAAGGTTAAAATCATAATTAATAGTATTAGATATTAGATATTATAATGATATCTAAGATAATAACAAAAAACTGCAAAAATTTTGTAAAATTACTAACTCAGGGGCAGCAACCCAACAACTGGTCGTCGGATTTGTCTGAAAAATCCAGGGCAGATAAATCTAAATCTGATGAACATTTTTGCCACATGTCAGATTTGCTCTAAAAAAGAGGGACGAAAGATACCAGAGGGATGCTAAATGCTTTAGTTTCAGAGATATAAACCAAAAACTGCATTTTACCCCTATGTTCTATTTTTAACTAAGTTGGCCATGATGGTTGGAAGGCGGGGTCATCCGACAAATTTTTTAAACTAGATACCCTAATAATGATTGTGGCCAAGTATGGTTAAATTTGTCTCAGTAGTTTCAGAGAAGAAGATTTTTGTAAAAGATTACAAAAATTTACGAAAAATTGTTAAAAATTGACTATCAAGGGCAATAACTCCTAAAGGGGTCGACTGACAATTTTGGTCATGACAACTTATTTGTAGATCTTACTTTGCTGAACATTATTGCTGTTTACAGTTTATCTCTATCTATAATAATATTCAAGATAATAACCAAAAACTGCAAAATTTCCTTAAAATTACCAATTCAGGGGCAGCAACCCAACAACAGGTTGTCAGATTTGTCTGAAAATTTCAGGGCAGATAGATCTTGACCTGATAATCAGTTTTACCCTATGTCAGATTTACTCTAAATGCTTTGGTTTCAGAGATATAAGCCAAAATCTACATTTTACCCCTATGTTCTATTTTTAGCCATGGCGGCCATCTTGGTTGGTTGGCGGGGTCATCAGACACATTTTATAAACTAGATACCCTAATGATGATTGTGGCCAAGTTTGGTTAAATTTGGCCCAGTGGTTTCAGAGGAGAAGATTTTTGTAAAAAGCTAACGACGACGGACGACGAACGCCAAGTGATGAGAAAAGCTCACTTGACCCTTCGGGTCAGGTGAGCTAAAAAGGTTTCATGAAATTCTGTTGTGTGGTTTCAAAGGAGTTGCGATGACAAACTGTTGCAGTAGTACATTGAAGCAAATAAGTTCAAAGGGGCGTAACTCCTAGAAAAAAAATTGAATCACAATTTCCTGTCGATATGCACAACTACATAGTATGTCCTTATTATCTAAATAGATTTCATGAAATTCTGTTGTGTGGTTTCAGAGGAGTTGCGATGACCACCTGTTGCAGTAGTACATTAAAGTAAATAAGTTCAAAGGGGCGTAACTCCTAGAAAAAAAATTGAATCGCAATTTCCTGTCGATATGCACAACTACATAGTATGTCCTTATTATCTAAAAAGGTTTCGTGAAATTCTGTTTGGTGGTTTGAGAGGAGTTGCGATGACAAGAAACAGGACTGACGGACGGACGGACTGACGGACAGACGGACTGACGGCCGGACTGACTGACGGACGGGTCAAAAACATTATACCCTCCGCAACCAATTTCGTGGGGTATAAATATGAAACTTTAAGTTAGCCAAGGTCAACTGATTGTTCTGAGCTAAGTATACTGACTGGAAACTGCTACAAATACTAAGAAATAAACAATTACCAGTTTTTTCCGAAAATATCTAAATGAAATAAAAGCAAACTAAGTAAACAAATACATCATCTTTCTTATCCATTTTCAGACAAATGTCTGTTATGATAATCAGGTGACAGATGATATGACAATTCTAAGTAAATTGATAAACTGCATGTGATTTCCAGATTTTCTTCACTTGATTGAGCAACTAAATCAATACAAGAAATATCAGCTAAGCAAGTGATGAATTATCAACAAGCAACAGGATGGGTACCACATGTGGAGCAGGATCTGCTTACCATTTCAGAGCACCTTAATTCACCTGTATATAAAGAGTTTATTGACAATTTTTTAATTTATTTTGACTTATTTGTTCATCATTTTTGTATTTTATTAAACAGGAAGTTGATAATTTATGAGATGGATTTGAAAACACATCCAAGGGTAAAGTATACTACATGTAGCATGATAAAGATGTCCCAAACTTCAGGAAGTTTTGATTTATAGTTTCGGTGAAAAATTTGAGAAAAGTTTCAAGGGACAGAGGGATATAATCAACTACAGAGGGAATTATCAAAATCCTGTCAAAAAGCCAATAGAAAACTTGTGTATTTTGTTTTGTTGACACTTACCAGCTAATTGAATTGGTGCTTCACCTATAAAGCACAAATAATTAAAACAAGAGTGCATGTGCTGAAATGTCTCGCCTTCTATACTGACCATTGATTTTATGTTGATAGTCCTACATATAAAGTTTTACTACAAGTATCACATTAACATTTATGATCCTAGAAAATGAGGTCAAGGTAAGATAAACCAAGCCGGAAATACATGTACACCTTTAATACAATCCCTCCATTCACAGAATATAGATGACCTATTGCTTATAGTATAAAAGAAACAGACCAAACCATGGAAATTCTATACTGACCAATGAACCATGAAAATGAAGTCAAGGTCATTTGAACCCTACCAGACAGACATGTACACCTTAAAATCATTCCATGCATCAAATATAGTTGACCTATTGCTTAAGGTATCTAAGAAAAAAAGTTAACCAGGAAATCTGAACATTGACCAATCAACCATGAAAATGAGGTGAAGGTCAGATGATACCTGCCAGACAGACATATACACCTTACAATCATTCCATACAGTTGACCTACTGCATACAGTATAAGAAAAACAGACCAAAACACAAAAACTTAACATTGAGCAATGAACCGTGAAAATGAGGTCAAGGTCAAATAAAACCTGCCAGACTGACATTAACATCGTAAAATATTTCCATACACCAAATACAGTTGACCTATTGCATACAGTATTAGAAAAACAGACCAAAACGCAAAAACTAAACTATGACAACTGAACCATGAAAATGAGGTCAAGGTCAGATGACACCTGCCAGTTGGACATGTACACCTTACAATCATTACATACACCAAATATAGTAGACCTATTGCTTATAGTATCTCAGATATGGACTTGACCACGAAAACTTAACCTTGTTCACTGATCCATGAAGGTCGAGGTCAAGTGAAAACTGTCTGACAGGCATGAGGACCTTGCAAGGTATGCACATACCAAATATAGTTATCTTATTACTCATAATAAGAGAGAAATTAACATTACAAAAAATCTTAACTTTTTTTTCAAGTAGTCACAACCATGAAAATGAGGCCAAGGACAATGGACATATGACAGACGGAAACTTCATATCATAAGGCACCTATATACAAAGTATGAAGCATCCAGGTCTCCTACCTTCTTAGCTTTTAAGAAGTTAGTTAACGCCGACGCTGCCGCCGGATCACTATCCCTATGTCGAGCTTTCTGCGACAAAAGTCGCAGGCTCGACAAAAACAGTATCCCATGAATTATAATTTAACCACAATAATGTTCTGGAATTGGAAATACCTTAAATGAATACGGAAGAAACATTTGGCATATAAAAGCCGTAAAAATAAATAATTTAAATGACTACTGGTATACAGAGTATAAAAAGTTGAAAAACAGATGATAAATATTTTAAGAATAAAACTATAGGATTAAAACATTTTATTAAATTTTGTGTTTAACTTGTAATATCCTATTTTTAACAGCACTATATTTTTGTATCATGGTTTCATCCCTCACCCAATTTTTACAATTCATTCCAAACATTTTTGAACATCTTCGATAGTGATGAAGTAAAACTGTCCATGGATCAGGAACAATAACTCTGTATTCTTCAACTAAAGGCTTACTCACATGATGAATTCCAACTTCCAACACAGCAGATGGTTTTATTATAACTTTTGTTCTTGAACGGCTGTACATTTGGGTTCGAGTTGTACAACTAAGTGCAACAACATCTCCTTGTGACGTACAATTGTAGAAAAACGCACTCTGTATTCTGATTCCTATTACAGTTTTGTTAAATAAAGGTGAAAGCGATTCTTTCCAAAATAAGTTCTTGTCATGGGGAACAATTAATTCATCAATATCTTGGATTACTAACTTATCAGTTATACTCATAGCACGATAGAGACAATCCATGTGAGCTAGAGGCTGACCGTGATTCTTAATCAATTTTAGATCAATTTCTCCCGGTAATTTCCATTGAATAACTGTCACTTGATCTGAATAATATTTAAAAGCTTTTCTACTTTTGTGGTTTTGAATATCATGATGGTAAATTATAAACTTTTCTGCACCAAAATATTTTGTAAATTCCATGAACTCTATCAGCTTATGAGGTAGAAAATCTCCGTATAAAGGAGGAACACATACAGTATAGTCAAATCTAGCATTAGCAGGATTTATATCAATTAAATTCATTGTTATGTTATTTATTCTAAGTGTCTTATTTTCTGCCTTTAGGTTAGCACTGACAGTCACCTGACATGGAAAGAAATCTTCCGGTATTGGACAGGATATTAACCATCCTCCATATTTTTTATCATGATTTTCAGCTAATACATATTTAACGGCAGTAACTGGATAGTATTCATTGTTATCTCCTCTTAAATAGCAGACAATATCCAAATTTTTGTTTAAGTTTCTATTCAATAATGACATTATCCTAATGTAATGATCAGGTAGCCTTCTATCCAAATAGGCAGAATAAACATAAAATGTGTCTTCTGCTACTGTTTGAAACTTAAGCTCATTTGTTTCTGGACTAAGAAAACAAGATGAAACGACCTCTTTATACTTTATAATGTTTTTATCTTTATAAATGATAGTTTTAGACAAATTTGATCTTTTATCCATAACTGGTTTTTTGGTTACAGAATCTGAATGAACAAGTTTGTCTTCAATGTAACCAGCCTCATTTTGGATTTCTACATGACTTTTGTATAGTTCCACTTGAAGCTGGTTATGCAGTGTGCATATTGTGAAGAAAAACAATACAGCTATCACTGCTAGATAATAATATTTATTTTTTCTTCTTCCCATAATCCTTTGTACAAATACTTTCTTGTGTCAACACTGTGAACAGAAACAGTTGTTAGTCATTTAATTTCAAAAGAACTGCAAGTTATAAAGCCAAAATAAGCAGAAAATTTTATAGGCACGATTTATTTTTATTTTTAACAACAGAATATTATTTATAAGGAACCCTGGAAGAAGCAAATTCTTTCCCAACCAAGAATATATCAACGAAAATAAACAAATCTCAAGAAATTATCATATTTGAATAATTCTTCTACTCTAGATGCATTTATTTTCCTGGCTACTAATTTGCATGGAACAAGAAAAATCATATTTTCATGGATTAATTTTGAACTTTTGAAAAATTCTTTATACAACTAATTATAAGCATTGAAAAAAATTTGTTATCTGTTGAAGACTAAAATTTGATGTTCACATTCACAAATAAAATTCATTAAAGTTAGTATCTAAGATCAAGAATGAATCCTAAGTATGTAAAATACCACATATATAACATAGAGAATTGAATAGTGTGTCTACAGGCTATGTGTGAGGCTATAAAGAGGTGAAGCAACCATCAAAGCAAAGAGACATGACATTAGAATAGTGTGCTTACAGGTTATGTGTGAGGTTATAAAGAGGTGAAGCAACCATCAAAGCAAAGAGACATGACATTAGAATAGTTTACTTTCAGGTTATGTGTGAGGTTATAAAGAGGTGAAGCAACCATCAAAGCAAAGAGATATGACATTAGAATAGTGTGCTTTCAAGTTATGTGTGAGGTTATAAAGAGGGGAGGCAACCACCAAAGCAAAGAGACATGACATTAGAATAGTGTGCTTTCTGGTTATGTGTGAGGTTATAAAGAGGTGAAGCAACCATCAAAGCAAAGAGAAATGACATTAGAATAGTGTGCTTACAGGTTATGTGTGAGGTTATAAAGAGGTGAAGCAACACTCAAAGCAGAGAGACATGACATTAGAATAGTGTGCTTTCTGGTTATGTGTGAGGTTTATAAAGATGTAGAGCAAATATCAAAGCAGAGAGAAATGACATTATGATAGTGTGCTTTCTGGTTATGTGTGAGGTTATAAAGAGGTGAAACAACCATCAGAGCAAAGAGACATGACATTAGAATAGTGTGCTTACAGGTTATGTGTGAGGTTATAAAGAGGTGAAGCAACCATCAAAGCAAAGAGACATGACATTAGAATAGTGTGCTTTCTGGTTATGTGTGAGGTTTATAAAGATGTAGAGCAAATATCAAAGCAAAGAGAAATGCCATTAGAATAGTGTGCTTACAGGTTATGTGTGAGGTTATAAAGAGGTGAAGCAACTATCAAACCAGAGAGACATGACATTAGAATAGTGTGCTTTCTGGTTATGTGTGAGGTTTATAAAGATGTGGAGCAAATATCAAAGCAGAGAGAAATTACATTATAATAGTATGCTTTCTGGTTATGACTGAGGTTATAAGGATGTGGAGCAACTATCAAAGCAGAGAGAAATGACATTATAATAGTGTGCTTTCTGGTTATGTGTGTGAGGTTATAAAGAGGTGAAACAACTATCAGAGCAAAGAGACATGACATTCGAATAGTGTACTTTCAGGTTATATGTGAGGTAATAAAGATGTGAAGCAACCATCAAAGCAAAGCTGATATAAAGAGTGGATAAAAAAACTATTAAAATTAACAAAAAGGTGTTTGTTCCCCAATAAGGAATATGGCATTGGACAAGGACTACAGCTTGGGGTGCATAGTTCCCAACTTGATGTATATTTACAAACCATGTAAGCTGTGGCAGGGAGGAAGATAAAAAGCAGTACTGTCAAATGTTCAATAACATTAGCTTTCAATTGTTCTTCATGGCTTTATCTTCTAATTGGCTGCTGTATCTGGTACTTAATGGTGTAATCAACCTTGAAGTATTGTCTTGGCTTCAAGCAGTTACACATTAATTTGTGGTGTGGCCTTTTAGTTAACAGGCTCTTCATGTAGATGTAGATTAATTTGCTAATTGTTTGGGCAAATGATTAAATCTCCATTGGTAACAAATGAATTAAATGAATTCACAACAAGCACTTGATATGGTGTATGCCATGCTAAGCAGATTTATAACTAATGTTACAGATAGATCAGACTCTAGTGACTACCATCACAATCACCTATCATTATAATTAACTCATACTCATTTTTGATGAAAATTTAGAAATTACTGAAATAAAGACTGACCATAATGTGAAATTAGTAACATCTCCTGGCTACAAAACATAAAAAAAAATCATTTGAAATTAGAAAAATATCATCATAATAGACATCAAGTCGTATTTTAATGCTGCTCAATTAAGAGTCCCAAAATGCAATGATTTTGTCCTTTGGTAAGATTATTCCAAAACTTCCAGTGAACTGATTGTTATGAGTAGGTATAATGAGAGGCAACTATTGTTAAAAAAAACCCAAAAATTTACCAAATTTACAGAAAATATTCTTTTGCCGCTCAAAAAACTTTCTCTGGTCATATCTGAAGAAAAAAAATTACAATTAGACAGAATATAGATCTATGTGTATTGTATCTTTTTTTATATGTTATTTGGTCATCTAAATTCTATTTCAATAATAATAATCTTGCAACAAATGTCATCAAGAGTAAAAAAACTGTATCTGACCACTTTCGGCTGTCGACTGATCAGGGAAAACTCAAGTAACAAATTATACTCCAGACACTCCAAGATGATTGTGGCTTTGTTTGGTTTGTTTTCAATTTACCAAGTGCTTCTAGAGAAGATTTTTTTAACATATATAGGCAAATGAGGGAGAATTGTCATTCAGTAATATGTTGTTCCACAAACTTATAAGACTGGCTGAATCATTGATTTTCAAATATAGTTTAATTGGCATGACTAAAAAACAAATTTAAAACATCAATCGGACAAAATATACAAATATAGAACATTGACACATAAATAACATGATGTTATTCACCAATATTTCTGTCAGTAATTCAATCTGGACAATGGGATAAGGTCAAGCCACTTGAGGATCTAAACAAACAACCTCTGACAAGGTGAATCAATATATTACTACTAATTAGCAGGTAAAGTGGATTATAACCTAGGCTAGGGGGTCTCAAGGAAGAAAGGTTGGGAGATTGGTATAAGATGGCTCTAAGCATGTATATTATTCTTATAATTTGAAGGTGAAAGTGGAACATTTGTTTGGGGGCGGGGGGGTGTAAGAAATGAGGTAGCTGCATACCTTGCATTGTGAATCAATATGGTGATGATTGGAAGAGTGTTTAAACATGTCCATGTAAGTATGAAAAAAAAAAATAGAAAAAAGTAAATGGATCAAATAGGAGCTTACCTAAAAAGTAAAATGGACTTCCTGTTTCAAATTCTGAAATTCCCTTGAGTATCTGACCAAAATGTTAAAAAACATTTTAAGAAAAACTTTTTCATTTGTTCTGAAGTGGTCTATGCATAACGCTACCATGAGAGTCCTTGTCAATACAATACAATAAGCTTTATTTAGAGTCTGTACATTTTAACATACAAACATAAGCTCATAAGAGCTTTTAAAACCAACAAGTAACATATATAAGACATACAAATAAAGTAGTTTAAACACACATTTTTAACAACACACACAATAGGACATTCCTTTAAAGAACAAAACAAATGTCCCATAAAACTACAGTAAATTAAAAGCTAGGCAATGTTAGCATAAGCAGTAGCATTATTTAGAAGCACTATAGAAATTTACCTGAAGCATTGTATATGCACTTGAATCTAAAGCAGTAACAAATAATAATTTAAGTATTGAACATATTAAGCATTATTCATTTAGTAAGGAATACACAAGATTCAAATTTCGATTTTATGAATGAACTGCCCTGGTTGACCTGGGGTCATTTGGGGAAAAACACATCATAGGAAATTGTGACATAAAAATATTTGCTTTGAGACGTCAATTTTTTTTGGGGAAAAAAGTATTAATTGGAAGATCATCTACAAAGTCAAACTAAAGACGTTAAAACTGGTATTTGCTGCTTGTCTGTTTCACTAACATCATTTAGGAGGAAGAGCACAGAGTCAGTCTGCTCAGAGTAAGAATGTCTTCCCAGGGAACCATGTCTTAAGTTCATCTATACCTTTTCATCCACATACAGACTGGTTAAAAATAGCACTACAAGCGAAATACTCCAGCAGGATGACTATAGGATGGCACTCTCAGAAAATCCACACATAAGGAATACTATTCTCCAGACAAAATGGAAACACTATGTACCCATCATATATAGATTTTCTATAATACTAATGTAAATTATTCTGTTTGTTGCAAAAAAAGGAAAATACTAGTTAACTTGTGAACAGTATATGCTCTTATTTAACCATTACAATAGAAACACTCTTTATCTATAAATTTCACCAACAAAAGTTTAAGTTTTGAGTAACTCTATACAATAAAAATATCTTGAAATATTAATACTAACAAGAAATTATGCTACATTTAATATAATTTTTGCTGCATCATTTTATACTTAGGTATCTAAGCTATATTTATTATGATTTTTGCTGCATCATTTTATACTTGAGTGATAGACAAGTAAGTAATAAGACATTCAAAACTCTCTATTCAACAAAACCCATAATCCATGAAAAAACAACAAATTATGACAGGTTATATCAGACAGATCATCATGGATTATAAAAATTTGACATATTACCAAAATTCATATTATAATTCATCTTCTTTTAAACCCTCTCATCTCAGTCCTTATGAAAGAAAATTGTTGACATAACGTCTACTCCACTGTCTCAAAGTGTAGGCTTCCATAATGTGGGGAAATGTGATTCTATAAAGATCACCAAAACATATCATATTTCCATTTAAGACATTTAAATAACCTCTAACTACTGAATAGATACCACTGAACCTTTAAAAATCGAATCTGGAAATTTATAGAATAAATATCTTTACTCTTCCATAACATATTTTTTTAAAGGAGTGCATAAACAATGATTTTCCTTATTTTTTCACATTGTTTGCCTCCACTGTAGGTGTTTAGGGGGTCTGGTTAATTAGCATAATCTAAAGATCTAATTCTGATGCAAGAAATTTTTTGATGTCCATGCAAATTTCAAACTAATTGAGGTAAACTGACCAAACTGTTGGTTTGAGTTTATCATTGATCAACATTAACTAAGAACTGTCACAATATGGAGTTTATAAGTAACGGAGCCCAGAAAACAAATCAAATGATTCATACCACGTTGAAAGACTAATAATATTCAGGATATCAATTTGCTAAATAACTCATAATAATCTATTTGTTATAATCATTTGAGTGTTTCTTGAGGAAATTTCAGCTTTTCAATATGTAGGAAGTTTACAATGATAATATATTGTTGAATACTCGCAGTTAAACTTTATTTGATTGGGGCAAATATTTTGACCGCCCATAGCCATGAAATATGAAATGTTCTCCCCCAGAATTTTTGGATAAGCATCAGGTACGACAGCTTTGTGAAATGATTTGTACATTGCATTGTGTCGTGTCATGTCGCTTAGCTTTATTTCTGGTTAGTTTTTTTTTTATAACCAGAATAAATTTTGAAACATAAGATATATATGTCCAATGTCTTCCATTTGCTTTTGATGAGATGACAATTTCTGGTAATAGATTAAGAAACCTATAAACGCCCTTTAATAATTGTTTTACCATACAGGAATAATGTATATGCTCTTCATCTTGATCTAAAAACATGTTAAGGATGTTCGCTACTCTGTTTTAAAATAACAAGCTTTTTAAAAGACTGTTATAGATGAATAGCATATAAATAAAGGAACTAAAAAAGCAGAAAAAAATGAAGGGTCCGTGTGCTTGTTTTCGAGATATAAGCCATTGAAAATTTGGCGGGAAATCATTTTCTCTAGATTTTTCATACATTTAACATTGGCACCCTTTTTCTTTTAAAAAATACAAAAAAATAACAAGGATTTTCAAATATGGCTTTTTAAACTATATGTAATAAAATTATGAAAAGAAAAGTAGGGGTTAGCGGGGAAAATTTTTTAATGGCACTACATGGATAAAACCAAAGGATTCCGAATATCTGTCAAAATTTCAAAAACAAGAGGACCGAACATCCTTAATGTCTTTACAATATAACCATTAGAATACATCAAGGATTTAAATCTGATCAGAGGTATGCATACATGTTTACAGTTATTACCAATCAAGGACTCAGCAGTTTTAAAATTGCTTACATGCACATCATTCAAACTCTGATGGATAGTTGTCTCATTGGCAATCATACCACATCTCCTTGGTCTCTGGTGGATAGTTGTCTCATTGGCAATCATACCACATCTCCTTGGTCTCTGATGGATAGTTGTCTCATTGGCAATCATACCACATCTCCTTGGTCTCTGATGGATAGTTGTCTCATTGGCAATCATACCACATCTCCTTGGTCTCTGATGGATAGTTGTCTCATTGGCAATCATACCACATCTCCTTGGTCTCTGATGGATAGTTGTCTCATTGGCAATCATACCACATCTCCTTGGTCTCTGGTGGATAGTTGTCTCATTGGCAATCATACCACATCTCCTTGGTCTCTGATGGATAGTTGTCTCATTGGCAATCATACCACATCTCCTTGGTCTCTGATGGATAGTTGTCTCATTGGCAATCATACCACATCTCCTTGGTCTCTGATGGATAGTTGTCTCATTGGCAATCATACCACATCTCCTTGGTCTCTGATGGATAGTTGTCTCATTGGCAATCATACCACATCTCCTTGGTCTCTGGTGGATAGTTGTCTCATTGGCAATCATACCACATCTCCTTGGTCTCTGATGGATAGTTGTCTCATTGGCAATCATACCACATCTCCTTGGTCTCTGATGGATAGTTGTCTCATTGGCAATCATACCACATCTCCTTGGTCTCTGATAGATAGTTGTCTCATTGGCAATCATACCACATCTCCTTGGTCTCTGATAGATAGTTGTCTCATTGGCAATCATACCACATCTCTTTGGTCTCTGATAGATAGTTGTCTCATTGGCAATCATACCACATCTCCTTGGTCTCTGGTGGATAGTTGTCTCATTGGCAATCATACCACATCTCCTTGGTCTCTGGTGGATAGTTGTCTCATTGGCAATCATACCACATCTCCTTGGTCTCTGGTGGATAGTTGTCTCATTGGCAATCATACCACATCTCCTTGGTCTCTGGTGAATAGTTGTCTCATTGGCAATCATACCACATCTCCTTGGTCTCTGGTGGATAGTTGTCTCATTGGCAATCATACCACATCTCCTTTTTTCTTGTTGTCTTTGTGTTTCACAAACTAGTGCTGATTTCAACCAAGAGCTAGTCTATTTACAAGCATCTCTGAAGTAAGCACATTATTATCCCAACCAGCTGCCAATGCAAGAAA